TGGGGAGAGGGATTCCCCACGCGGGGCAGAGCGGTGGCGAGAGCTCCTCCCCGCAGGGCTGGATGAGCCGGTCGGGACACAGCCGGAGTCGGGAAGGGCTGCCCAGCATCGGGGTATGAAAATCGCTGCCGTTTACTGCAGAAAAAGAAGACGCGGCTCTCCCCACCACCCCAGCGGCTCCCAGCTCAGCCAGCCTGGCAGATCAGCGACGGGAGCCCGGAGGAGGCTGCCCCGGCGGCGCACCAGGACCCACGTCCATGACAGATGTTGGGAGGCCCTGGTTACAGCTCCCACCCGGTTCTGGAGGTGGGGTTTTGCCACCAACATCACCTGAGCCCGTAGGAGAGCGGTATACGGCAGAGCCCGCGCAGCCTGGTGGCTTCAGGCGCGGAGGTTGTCACGTTCAAGGTGTTTGCAGGTAAGAAAGGGAAACGCAGGCCAGGTCTGCTCTTGCAGATGAGTTTCCCAGAGGGGCTCCGACACAACACTCCGGTGGTTTGAAACAAAAAACTCACAAAGAAGTTATTTGGCGCCCCAGTCCTCACCTGCTTGCCGTGACTTTTCCGTATCTTTAGTTTACAAACCACGAACACCACGCATCGGCGCACGACCAAGTAAAACCCTGCTGGCGTTGAACTGCTCATGCCAGGCGCTTGGACGCCCCGCAGCGCCCCCGACCCTTCCGCAGGGATCCCCCCATGTCTGGGAGGAAGCCGTCCTGCGAACCCAAAAAAAAAAGCCCCCCCTCGTCCCTCGTGCCGGGCGCTCCGGGCAGCTGGGGAGCACGGACCGGGCGAGGTGCCGGGTCAGCGACCATTCATTTACGGTTGTATGGACACCACCGTAAACCAGAGGAGATGGCAGACAAACTCCTTCGGATCCAGGCGCAACCCGCGCCGCTGCGCAGGGCATTCGCTACGCCTCGTCACAAGACCCGGCATTCCAGGAAGAATAAAAATTGAGTCAATAAATTATCGCAGCCCAAGACAGACACCCTCTGCCAGCCGCAGCGAGGAGGCGGTTCCAGCCCACAGGAGGGGAACGTCCCCGGAGCAGGCGGCGGTAGGGACCGATCCCGCAGGACCTTCCCCAGGGTGCAAGCACCGTCCCCCGCCCCCGATGAGTAGGGTCCCTGGGGATGGTGGAGGGAACGTCTCCCGCCCGAAGCCAGATGCCGAGGGGGGTCACTGTGCAGCCCTGGCCTTGCACAGGGAGGTGGCCGAGCCCACGTGCATCGCCTGCGCATCCCTGCTCTGCTCGGAGCGCTTCAGTCTCAGATCCAAACCAGCCCGGCCCCGCACGCTGGTGGAACCGCACACAGCCCCGGGGTGTCCGTGCAAGAGCCCGGCTCTCGCGGGGCCATGGGGGGAGCAGGGCACGCTCCCCTGGGAACGAGGGGGGCTCGGGAGTTACAGCCCCGTATTGCAACTGCTTCAATCAGCAGCAAAACGAGGGATGTGCCAGAAGCAGAGCGGGCTCCAGGAGGAGAAAAGACACTGTGGCCACCAGCCGAGAGCCGCGCTCCCAGCCTTCCCCCGCAGCGCTAACCCAGCAGAAAGCCTGGCAAATTTGGGGACAGCCCGGCCGCCACCATCACTGCTCCTCAGGTGGGCTTGGGGAGGCGACGGAGGAGGAGAGCAGAGCAAGAAGGAAAAGCACAGCTCTTCCAGGCGCTTATCAAGCGGCCCATCGAGGCGGGACGCAGCAACCCCAGACGAGATAACACAACCTACCGTGATCTTACTGGCCCGGTTCAGCGCCTCCACCCAGTCCTGCAGGTCCTTCTGATCGCTGGCTTGTAAGAAATAGCGCTGAGATAAAGCGTTGATGACTGTCGGAGAAGGGAACGAAAGGAAGGGTTAGGGACCCCCATCCCGTGCTCAGCGTTATTAAAACAAATCCAACAATAAATCAGCACGACAGCATCTCCCAGCTTCCCGTCCCAGGGTGATTTGCAGGCATCGGTCTCGTTACCTCCCGCATGGAAAAGCGCTCCGGCACAGACAGAGCGGGGACGTGGCAGCTTGGCCAGCTGGATCCTTACAGCAGAGCTTAGGCAGGGCAGGGCTAAAGCCAGGCTTAACCCAAGGCTGCATCACAGCCCAAACTAGGACTTAACCTAGCGCTGACGTTACCCCCTCGCACAGGGCGCTTGCGGGCCCCTCGGGACTGCTCCTTCACTCAGAACTCGGGGTTTATCTCTCATCCAGAGCACCGGCGCGAGCCCCCGGCGGGGTCTGGGAAGCTCCTCGGGGTCACGCTCCCGCAGACTCCCAGCGAGCGCTGCCTCCAGGCCGGCAGCCAGGGGGCTCAGAGGAAGCTCCTGGGGGATTTCTGCACCAAAAAGCTGGAGATTCTTCCAACGGCACAAGAGCTTGCTGCAACCCCCACGAGCCTCGCGCCCCGGGCTCTGCCACGCCGGGCTCCTCGGGAGCAGCCCCGTCCCCGCGCGGGGACACACCGCGTGCTCTGGTCTTGTCTTGGGCTACATCCCTCGTGGTGAAGCATTGCAAAGGCAGCACCGATCCCCTGGGACAAGGAGGTGCTTGCGCTGTCATTTCTGCTGCTTTAAACCTGAGCTCAGGGCTCACGCACGAGGCACCGAGGCAGCCTGGGTCGGGCTGAGGCCGCCTGGGGTGAGGGGGAATCGGGCACGGAACAGCCCTTCCATGCACAGACACAAGCTTATGCTGGCATTAAAAAGGGAAAAAAACCCTGCAGCCTGTGTTGCACAACGTAATGCAGCACGGCAGGACACACGGAAAGGATTCAGGAGCACAGCGAGAGCCGGGGTCCGCGCAGGGGACCGGCACAGAGGGGACCCACGGGGTCCTGCCCCCCTCCCCAGGCTCTGCCCG